GTATAGAATAGATACTATCTTATAAAAAACCATAAGTGTTTTAAAATAAAAATAAGATTAAAAAGTAATTAAATATGACAATGTACATGACCAACTTTGCTGGTAGGAACATTGATTTTTTGGGCTAAAAAGATTGAGAAGTATAGAATAGATACTATCTTATAAAAAATCACAAGTGTTTTAAAATAAAAGTAAGATTAAAAAGTAATTAAATATGACAATGTCAATACTCGAATACTAAAATTGGAATTTGCTTTTTTCTTGTTGAATTACATTCTTTCCAAAAGATTGAAGACCCAACCCGGCCCGACAGAGCATCTGGCATGATGTAAATCATGGCTAGATCTTTGTTTACTGTGCACAATAAGCGGCCCTCACTTAAAGAGGTTGTATCAACACTGTTATTTGTGAGTCTCGATTCCTGATCATTCTTGATTCTTCCTAAACTTCACCTCTATAATCAATTGAGGTGTCCATGCGAGCTGAATTACATAATAAGACTGAGTGAACTTGTCGATTGGGATATGTAGCCGCCTTTGTCGATTCTATATTCTTTCATCCCCACTTGCAATATTAATTTATTAAATTATTTATTAACTAATTATTTAATAATTATTTTTATTTCCAAAGTCACATGCAGGATGTCAATTTTATAATACCAAAATGTGGGCCCACCATCTAGACTTCTTAGTTTATCTTATTCTGCATTCTGCAAGAGAATAAATCCTATTACAATCATTATTACCTGGACCACCATATTTTACATAATTGTGTGGATCATAAATAAAAAATATATTTTTAGTATATTAAAATTACATTATTTATGTACGTAAGATATATTTTTTGAAAGTACTTTTTTAATTTTTAATATATTAGTGATACATTATTTTATATAATGTACTCTCAATACAAAAATAATATCATTTCAATATAAAAATAATGTACTTTTACAGTTTTACGAGACGTTTGGTTGGAAGAAATAAATTAGGGAGGAAAAGAATTATAATTTGGTGAGAAAAGAGAAAGGTGGGAATAAGGTAGGAATTCAAATTACGTTGTTTGGTAGGAAAAAAATATAATTATTGGAGTTGAGAAGGAAAAAAGTGATATAAAGACTAAAATACCCTTGTGTAATAATAATAATAGTAATAACAACCAAGGGTAGTAGTGTCATTTCATTTGTTTTTCCTTTTTCAAATTCATTGAATTGCAATTAATGGCGGTAACCCATGAATTGCAATTCAACAAAAGGAGGGAATTGTAATTCTGTGGAATTGCAATTCCCTCCAACCAAACAATGCAATTGAGACATCCAGTGAATTGCAATTCAACTACAGCTAAATTACAGTGAACCAAACGCCCTGTTAATATATTACAAATGTACTTGATATTCATGGTCCACAGAATTATGTGGACCATGATCCACACAATAATTTGTCATCCTATTACTTTTGGGCCACTTAATATTTAGCACAAAATTTTGGAGCCCAATTATTTGTATATATATGTTGTGTATAGGACCAAATGAAAACATCGAGCAAATTATACCGGTAAATTACAATGTTATATAGACCATAATAAAAAGTATATTTTTAATATACTAAATGTATATTATTTGTATACTGAATGTACATTATACAATATAATGTACACTCAGAACAAAAATAATGTACATCCCCTGAATATAATGTACATTATTTTTGTACCGAATGTACATTATTTTATAGAAGACAAAATATGGTACACACAACTTGTATGGACCATGGTCCACACAATAATGGTTGAATTATACCGTGCACTAGGGAGCACAATCTATTGTGCGCCCTTGCCCAAAACGACGTTGTTCTGTACCCTTTTCGCGTGTCTGCTATTAACTTCTTAAAAAAAAATCATGTTTCGAATGTACAGAATTGTATAATAGAAAACACATAATTTTATACATGAAAACACAGAATTTTATACCTGAAAACACATAATTTTTATAACTGAAAATCCCCATGTTTCGAATGTATAGAATTATATAATAGAAAACACATAATTTTATACTTGAAAACATAGAATTTTATACCTAAAAACACAAAATTTTATAACTGAAAATTCCCATATTTCGAATATACAGAATTATATAATAGAAAACACATAATTTTATACCTGAAAACACAGAATTTTATACCTGAAAACACATAATCTTTTTTAAAAGGATAAAAATCCCCAGTTTCGAATGTACAGAATTTTATACCTAAAAGCACAAAATTTTATACCTGAAAACACATAATTTTATACCTGAAAACACATAATTTTATAACTGAATACATATACATTTTCGTCGCGTTAATTCCCCACACAACTTAACAAAACGACATCGTTTTGGGAAGCGCGAGGCGCACATTGCTATGTGCGCCCTAGTGCACGGTATAACGATTGAAAACATCGTTCTCCTGTAAAAAGTAAGGATTGATCTCATCCGTTCATCATGGTTCATGAATAGTTGATAATTTAATAAAAAAAATACAAGGTCAATTTTATAATTATTGAAAACTTTTAAGAACGATGTTCATTTTATAATTATTGCAAATTTAAAAGTTTAGTAATTGTAAGATCCTAGCCTTTTTTTGGATGACGAGGGAAAGTGGGAAACCCCACAACCTTTTCCGTGTGAATAAATCTCGCCTTGTAACCCTGGCCGACAAAAGACCACAAAGAAATAAACTAGCGTAGGTTACTCATAGTTGATCAGCTCAAACCAAGGGACAAAGATTCGAACGCGTGATCTTGTAGGGATGGGATTATCCCCAACTCCCCAAGATCCAATCCTTTGATGCAGTGAGTGAGAGAGAGAGAGCTAGAGAAATGAAAAAATGTTGTGACATTTTCATAATTAATACGATATACTCCGTACTAAACAATTCAAAAGCTTCATGGTGGATTCATTGTTGTATTATAGTGCATCCAACTTGAATATACGTTTACAAAGTATAAATACATTGGCATATATATGAAACTTTTTTCTACGGTGATAAATGACATTGGTGCATGGTGTATTACATTTAGTATACGTGTGCAAGTGTAGCTAATTGTATTAGGTATCGTGCATGTGCACCAATACTAGGGATAGGTAGCAGTACAGCCTCCTACACTAATATTTGTATTAGGTTTAACATAAATAATACCAATGTCGATTATATTGGTAGCATAGAAATTTTATATACATAAGCATTTGACATACTCGATATATGAAGAGTGCGCAATTTATATCCTACACCATGGCGCGCATTGCACTGTGCGTCCAGATGTAAAACGACGTCGTTTTAATTTTTTTTTTTTTTTTTTTTTTAAATTTCCCGCCCCAGTGTATGGCAGTTAATTTTTTTTTTTTTAAAAAACCCCTGTTCAAAAATGTACATAATTGTTATATTAGAATACACATAATTGTATACATGAATGTACATAATTATATAACAAAATATACATACTCTTTTTAAAAGATAATACACATAATCTAACATAATACATAATAAACATAAACTTTTAACATAATACACATCAACTCTTAACATAATACATACAAATTTTCTGATTCGGATGTACATAATTGTATAAAAGGAATGTACATAATTGTATAAAAAATGTACATAATTGGGTGAACAAATATACATAATTGGGTGAACAAATATACATAATCACAGCAACTTCCTACCGCGCCTTCCAAAACAACGTCGTTTTGGGAGGCGCGCGGCGCACAGTGGTGTAGGGTATAACGATTGATGAAGAGTGGGTATTTAATTTGGTACGCGGAATCCAAAGCCAGCAGTTTCCCCACCAGCCTACACAGATGCTTCAGACTGCTGTTGGGCCGAAGAGATGGTAATATGGTATGAGGTTAGCATTTGGGAGGATATAAATCATGGTGACTCAACTGAACATGAATTACAGAGGCTAGATCGGTGCTCACATCACTTTGAGAGGTTGCTCCCATACTGCCGCTGGTGAGACTCAACCCCTGGTCATTCTTCCAAAGTTTCACCTCTATGACCAATTGAGCTACCCATGCGGGCATGTGTATTTACATTATTATCTTTAGGAAAGACGGAAGACGAAATTGGACAAAAATTAAAATGTTGAGGACTTAATTTGGTAAGGATTATAGTTGAGGATCAAATAGATTATTAACTCTTTTATATATGTAAGCATTTGACATACTCGTATTTAATTTGGTACGCGTATTAAGTGTAAAACTCATAGCACAAAAGTATTTAGCATAAAAAAAATTAATTGTATTTTTTTTTTAATTTAAATGGTTGTGACACAAGATAATTAATGGTAAGAAATATGATAATTGGATTTTTGTTACAAATCTATGAGGATACAACAAAATATGCATATTGTAGACTAACTAAAGATAAGGGAACCTAACAACAAAATATTAATTTTTTATTGAAAGAAACTACTCTTCTTTTTTTTTTTTTTTTTTTTTTTTTTTTTTTTTTTTTTCCACAATTTGATATATCTAAATACTCTACATTTTCATTTTTGGTAGGAGACAATGTAATTCTTTTTTTTTTTCCTTTAAAATAAAATACTTTAAAATCTTATTAACTAAAATATTGTAGATTAAAACATTAGGAGTATTTCTCAAATTAGGGTGTGTTTGGTTCACATATAGGAATCGAAATTGAAAATTAAGAGAATCAAATATTTGATAATGGTAATAGGTTTTGGTGAAACTATTTTGTTGGTAGTAAGGTAGAATTAGAATGATTACCAATATTGATGTTTTGTTATTATTTATGACCCTATAATGGGAATAAATATTCTAAAAATACAAAAATAAAAAATCAAGACAATTGATCATATTATAATGACATCCAGAGCACCAATATGAACAAACAAAAAATCAAAACAAAAATCTAAAAACACTATTCCAAACTTAAAAAATCGATTACAAATAAGATATAATAATACGGATTTTCAATTGAAGGGGTAATCAAATCTCATAATTGTGGTTTAAAAAGTTGTCAACCGAACACTAACTATGATTTGATTATCATTCCTAGTGTGTAAACGCATGAACCAAACACACCCTAACATAATTTTTATCAGTTTAATGTCTCGTCACATATTGTTAATGTTCTTATTTGGTAGAATCCCAAATTGTTTAGTACTATTTAAAAAAAAAATTTGAGTGAATTCCATTTTTGGTCCTATTATTATAGGGGCATTTCCAATTTCAGTCCACTTTAATTTTTTTTACCGGTTGTACAACCACTGTTATTGAATGTGTTCTACTTTTAGTCCACCGTTAATATTTCCGTCAAGAGGCCGTATAATCAAAGGGTATTTTGGTCTTTTTATGTTTTTCTCTTCTCTTTTAATCCAGGCGCTTCGTCCTCCTCCTCCGATATTCGAAGATGGCTCTTCGAACAACGAGAATGAGAAGCCAAAGCTGCATCGTTTCGTTCGTTCCAACATGGGCCGGCGAGGTTTCTTAGGTTTTAGGTTTAATGTTCGCATTTCTTTAGTCAAACATACTCTTGGATGAGAAGAAAGGTCAGAATACCTCTAGATTACACAGCCTCTTGATGGAAATACTAACGATGGGACTAAAAGTGGTACACATTCAATAATAGTGATTATAAAGTGACAAAAAAATTAAGTTGGACTAAAATTGGAAACGCCCCTATAACAATAGGACCAAAAATGGAATTCACTCAAAAAAATTGTTTAGTACTGATTTGTTGGTTTAGGGAACAAAATATTATCCATGGTGGAATAGAATAACGTAGTAATGCAACTAATAAAATGTAGTATTCATAAAAAAGTGTAAGGTGTCAAGTGTTATCACTGCGCCGCGTAAGCAACTAATGAAATTCATATTTATAAAATTTTAAACATATGACTGCATAGCGTGGTGGATTAGCGCATCTAATTTTGGATCTGAAGGTCTTGGGTTTGACTCCCACTGTGGTCATTTGATTATAACTTATCCTAAAAAACCTCAAATATAAACTCTACCTAAATTATAAAAATTTATTATCTCTAAATAAATATAACACACCTCTTTCGCTGAAATAATTTTTCCTTTAAAAAAAACCTAAAATATAAACTCTTCCCAAACTAAAATGAAAACTTATAAAAATTTTCTATAAATAAATATAACACACCTATAATTATGTACAGTGATGGAGTAAATAAAGAAGAGATAAAGTACAAATAAGCCACTGAACTATTTGGGAAACAGCAATTAAGCCACTGAACTCAAATAACCCCCAAATAAGCCATTGAACTTGGAAAAAAAGAGCAATTGACATTTTTAACAGGTTAATTCCAAATTTTTGCTGACTGGATTGCCAAATGTTTATTTTATTTACGTTTTTTATTATAATCCACCTACATAGTAATATATTTTAAAATAATTGTAATCAAAATAGTTTTATCTTTCCTAGATCTAATTTATTTATTTATATTATTATTTTTTAAACAGAAGATCCAGTGACAAATAATAATAAATAAATAAATAAATCAAATCTCGACAAGGCAAAATTAATTTAATTGTAATTACTTTAAAATATATTACTATGTAGGTGGATTGTAATAAAAGAAACGCAAATAAAATAAACATTTGGCAATCCAGTTAACAAAAATCTAGAGGTAACCTGTTAAAAATGTTAATTGCTCTTTTTTTCTGAGTTCAATGGCTTATTTGCTCTTTTTTACCGGGTTCTGTGGCTTATTTGGGGATTATTTGAGTTCGATAGCTTAATTGTTGTTTTCCAAATAGTTCAGTGGCTTATTTATACTTTATCCCAATAAAGAATATAGAACAACCTTTAAATTGATATTGGAAAAATATAAAATATTATTTTTTACTAGTAATTAATAAAATAGTTCCTAACCACTTTTTAATGTTTGAATTAATATTAATATCAATTTTCATTCCCAATAAGAAAATGACACATAAATTTTACAATTAATCAATAAAAAAGTTTTAAAAACTGTATCCAATATGAAAGTGATATTTGAACATTACTATCAACTAATCAAAATGAGCTGAGTTTTAAACCTTCCATTTTACTATCTCAAAAAAAAAAATAAAATAAACTTCCATTTTACTATAAATTTCAAAAAGTTGTGTCATGAATTAGTAGTCATCCTTTATCCTTTATATAATAAAACTATATGGTTTGAGAAATAATTAATGTTACAATTAATGCCACAACATCCTTTATTATATAAAAAAAAAAAACACAACATTTAAAAAATAAAATAGCTATATATATACACTACAAGAAATTTCACATTTAGTGACAATAGAAGTTGTCACTGAAACTATCAATATGAAAGTGATATTTGAACATTACTATCAACTAATCAAAATGAGCTGAGTTTTAAACCTTCCATTTTACTATCTCAAAAAAAAAAATAAAATAAACTTCCATTTTACTATAAATTTCAAAAAGTTGTGTCATGAATTAGTAGTCATCCTTTATCCTTTATATAATAAAACTATATGGTTTGAGAAATAATTAATGTTACAATTAATGCCACAACATCCTTTATTATATAAAAAAAAAAAACACAACATTTAAAAAATAAAATAGCTATATATATACACTACAAGAAATTTCACATTTAGTGACAATAGAAGTTGTCACTGAAACTATCAATTTTGGTCACTATTGAAATTAGTGACCATTTTTTGAAGTCGTCACTTTTCGTCACTATATCCTCCGTCACTATTGTAGTAGTGACGACTTTTGAAAAGTTGTCACAATTACTCACTACTTTGTGACAATATTTACTTTCACTACAAGTAGTATTTGAGTGATAACGATAGTTGTCACAATAAATGTATAATTTGTGACCAAATATGTTATTACAAAATATTGTTCTAGTGACAACTAAAATCGTTGCAATTAATTATTTTATTGTTATTAGTGACCTAAAAGGTAGTAACCAATTAATAGGCTGAACTCGGGGTCAACCCGATGGACCCCCACCCTGCCCCGGGACTAGACATGGCTCGACCTACGCCCAACCCCCTGTGACCTCAACTCTAATACCAATTGATATATTTTAGCGTTGCACTATGCTTACTTCCCAGTAGGTCACCCATCTTGTAAGTCAAGCACGCTTAACATTGGAGTTCTTTGGTTGTCTGTTGTCATATCCTTCTTAAAGCTAATTAGTCATAAGTATGAGCTTTTTAACATTTGTAATAAAATGAATTGGAACAGTTTAACTTGCGAAATTATTTGTTAGATAGCTTCTGTAAATGATAATGAACTTATATGTCACAAAAAAAAAAAGTAAAAAAAAATGAGCGATTACAAAATGTATTTAATTTTCACAATTACATTTATTTTAAGAATCACTAACTAGTTGCATTTTAATTGACCATAATATTTAATATTTAGTTCACAACAAATTACTTTGGCACCAACTTGAATGCAATTTTAGTGGCAAACATTGACTACAACATAACTTCACACAATATTCTTCTATTTAATTATAGTGACAAAATCATTGTAACAAATAATTACTTATCACAATTATCATAACATTAGTGACAAAATTTGAATTCAACATAATTATTGTTACAATTTAGTAATTTTTGTTTAGGAAATAATAGAGTGTCACAAATTAAATATTTGTAACAATTTCATAAAAAAAATGACAATATGAGTGACAATAATTTTTTTTTTCTCACAATCGTATCTCATTTCTAAGTGTATTTTTATTGACAAAAAGAGTTGTCACAAATATATAAAACAGAGTGACCAACAACAATTTGTCACAAAAAGTACCAAAATTTGTGTATCACACTATATTTTGTCACAATTACTTCTGTTCCCACTATAATTATATTGCCGCCAAAAGACATATACATTTATTGACAAAAAATAGTGACAACTTAGGTTACGACACTATCATTCTAATAATAGTGACAACTTATTTGTAACAAATACTTACTTGTCACAATTACCATACTATCTGTGACCAAAAAAATAGTTGTCACAATTATCATAAGCAATAGTGTTGAACATTTTTTAGTCACAAAAAGAGTATTATTTGTGACTAAATTACAAAGTGTCACAAAAAAATTGTCACTAAATGTCTTAATTCTTGTAGTGATATATATATATATATATATATATATATATATATATATATATATATATATATATATATATATATATATATAATCATATAAAAAATATATACTTTTGAAAAATAAAATAGCTATATATTATATAATCATATAAAAAATGTGTTCAATTAGAGTTTAAATTTACACATACAAAATTTGAAATTTGCTTTCCAAATGTAATTATCTTAGTTATTATTTGTATTGTGAAAATTATAATATAGATGAAATACAATTAAGAATAAATCAATGTAATTATGTAAATTATCTCTATAAGTTTATTTGAATATGCACATAATTAGAGATTATATTAACCATACAAAATTATAATTTTAATTTTAATTGTAATTTTGTATTCTATAAAAATAATAAATACTTGACCAATGGAAGCTCAAAAATATTATTATATTAAATAATTTAAAATATTTTAGTTTTTCTATTTTTTTATTTATATTTATAATAACATAATTTTTTTCCGTGCATCGCGCGGGTGAATTAGTAGTTGATTTAAAAGTTATTTAGTCACAATTGGTACAATATCATATAAGAATTGAAACTTACACATCATCACTTAGAGCAATAATGAAAGAGAAAAAAAATCTATGTAATTCTACTTAAACTTATTTTTAATATTTATTTAACATTCCATGAACCAAACATCGTTGAGAGTGTTTAGAAAAAAAAAGTAAATTTAGGATGAACAACGGATTTGGGTAGTGGCAATACTAATGGGGTTCAAAGAGATGTTAAACCAGTGGAATCAGATACTAACATTGCTATTGGCCTAGGTGAATACAAATTAAATGAATGATTTGTTTGAAAAATTGAAAAAATGATTTTTAGAAGCTATTGTTTTATTTATGAAAAATTTAGTCAATAAAAAAATATTCAATCATTTGGTAACAAAATATATATATATATATATATATATATATATATATATATATATATATATCTATTTTGACAAAAAATGTCTTCTAATATTTTTACTTAAAAGACATTTATTTTTTTATCTCCCCTCACGTTAAGTTTCTTTCTTTTCATCTCTCTTATTAGTGTCAAATGAGCGGCCTAGTTCGCTGCAATCATTATTGTGTGGACCATGGTCCACACAAGTTGTATGGACCGTATTTTGTATACTGTAAAATAATATACATTCAGTACAAAAATAATGTACATTGTATTTAGGAAGTGTACATTATTTTTGTACTAAGTGTGCATTATATTGTATAATATACATACAGTACAAAAATAATGTACGTTTAGTACATTAAAAATGTACTTTTTATTATGGTCCACGTAACATTGTGTGGACCACAATTTGCCAGTTCGCCGCCTAGTCGCCTACCCCATTTACTATTTGAACTGGACCAAGCTGACCCTATTAAAATTCAGTTCGGGTGGGTAGCACAAAATTATAAAAATATATGTATGGCATCGCCTATAGCTCAATTGTTTTAAAAGTTAAGTTTTTGTTTGTTTGTTTTTTGTTTTGTTTTGTTTTGTTTTTTTTTTTCCTCAAATTCTTTAGTTTGTTCAGTTTAGGATGAGTTGGTCCATATTAGGACTCTATGTATCTGAGTCCATCTATGATTCACAATCCCAGTCTCCCTATGTCTCCTCTTGTATATATACATAGGATCTGTACTCTTGTAATCAATTACTGTTAATATAATTCATTACAGTTCTCATCTGGTATCAGGTAGCTAGAGTTTCTATCCAATGGTCGACGGATTTGTCAATTCCTCTAAACGGACCGTTTCTGATGCTCCCTCCTCATCGGTGGTTTCAACCGTAACCACCCTCTCCACCGCTCATCACTTCATCAGCGTCAAATTGACTCATCAGAACTTCTTATTTTGGAGGGCTCGAGTTGTTCATTTTCTCAACGGATATGACCTAATGGGCTTCATCGACGGATCAAATCCATGCCCGCCAACCATGCACGATCTCGTACGACGCAGAGGGGACGTCGTCCCTGCCGAATCCCGCCCATCATCTGTGGGTTCGTCAGGATCATGCGCTTCACTCCATGCTCATGTCCTCTTTATCTGATGAAGTTATGTCCTTGGCTATAGGGCATCACACCAGCAGTGCAGTGTGGACTGCCGTTACCTCCACACTTGCCTCTTCGTCTCGGTCTCGCTCGTTGAACCTTCTCGGGCAACTTCAGACGCTACAGCAGGGTGATGCCTCCGTCAATAATGTTAGGAATAAAGTGTAATGGTTTTGATATGCCAAATATGTATTTGTAGAACCCCCAATTTTATTTTATAGGTCTAGTAGAGTCTTAGACCATGATCGGGAAATTATTTAAGTTGCAAAAGAGAAAAACAGAGGAAGATGCATGAAAATAGAAGAAGAAGATATAAAGCCTAAAATCAAGAATTTGTCTGGTGAAAATGACAAATTAAAGAAGAAGATGAATGATATGAAAATCACGTCAATGCTACTCAAAAAAGATATCCCAGGAGAATTTTCGTTGAAGAAAATTAAGATTGGAAGATTGCATGAATTTGACTTGGAGATCAAGCATCTATGGAAAGAAAGGAGTATATCAATGATGATTGGAGATTTAACTAATAAGCTGTACGGAAAAATTGGAAGATGTCTGGTGTATTATGTGAAATGGTTTAAGTTCAAATCTCACCATCAATAATTTTACAAGGTAAAATTTGAGAAGCCAAAATTAATTAAATCCCCAATTTCCACTTGTCACTTCGGTGGCAATTGAGAAGCAATTGCACATGGGAGCCAATACAAAGGGAATTGGGAGCCGGTTCCAGAGCAATTGAAATTGGGAGCTAGTTAATTCAAATGGCTTTGGGCGTCAAAGTGGAAATTGGGAAGCAATTTCACTTGGGTTGGGAGCTAGTTAATTCAAATGGCTTTGGGCGTCAAAGTGAAAATTGGGAAGTAATTTCACTTGGGTGGCAATTGAGAAGTAATTGCACTTGGGAGCCAATTCAAAGGGAATTGGGAGCCGATTTCAGAGCAAGTAAAATTGGGAGCTAGTTAATTCAAATTGGGAGCCAATTGAGATTGTAGTATGGGATGCAATTTTAAATTGATGAAATTCAATACCATGAGAAGTCTGGGAGCCAATTTCGAAGTCAAAGTCAAATAATTCAAATTGGGAAGCAATTGAAGCACCAAGAGTAGATTGGGAGCCAATTACAAGTCAAAGTCAATTGGGTGCCAATTACAATGGAGAAATTCAAATTGGGTGCCAATTACAAGTCAATTGCAATTGGGTGTCAATTACAAAGGAGAAATTCAAATTGGGAGGAAGTTCAAAGCCAATTTGAAGTCTGAGAACACCCAGACGTGAGAATGAAGAAGATGAAGAAAAACTTACAGTGAAAATATTCTCACAAGGAAAAATACTAGTCTAACTAGTATGGGATTAAATTGAAGAATATTTTTGAAGTATTTAAATCCCAAGAACCACTTCAGAGCTGATCAGAGAAGCCATTCTACACAAAACTGAGACACAGATATTTCCAAGAAGCGTGAGAAAACCAGAGGAATATCAGATGAAGTTTGGGTACTCATTTGCATGAAGTTGAAGCTCTATCAACGGCTAGCTTATCTCTTCTGACACTTTGCCAGAAGATAAGATAAGATCTCTGACAAAAGATACAAGAATTCAAAAATGAGATCGTTTCTTTCCAACGGACAGATTCTCATTACCAGCTATAAAAGAATGAAGATATGAAGACTTAAAAAAAAAAGCAGAGAACACGAACTCAGATAGAGCAGAGTACACGAACTCACAAAGAAAAGAGCAAGAGCAAAAATCTCATTTGGTACAGAGCATACCAAAAGAAGTCTTCAAGTGAGAAGTGAGAAAAGAAAAAGAACTCAGAGAGCTTCAAAGAGAAATATTCTGAGAGTACTTAAACAGAGCAAAACAGAGCATAAAAATCAAGTGCTTTACTTGATATTTCAAAGAGAGAAAACACTCAGAGCGTTCAAGAGAAATCTTTCAAAGAGTGTTACATCTTCATCAAAGAGACATGCGCATCATTGAAGATCTTCTACAAAGTCTCAGAAGTTGGAAGCAAGACAACACTTGTTTTGGAGCAAAACAAGAGAGGGGAGGAAAGTAGCACGGAGCTGTGAAATCCTGGATTGTCACACGGAGCTGTGAGATCCGAAGCAGCAGTGTCGGAGGCACTGGGCGTGATTAGTGCGGGCTTTGTGATCAAAGCACTAGATCACGGGATATGTTTCTACCGGAGTGTGGAAGACGGGGGGAAAGTAACGCGGAGTCGTGAAATCCTAGGATAGTAGCGCGGCGACGTGAAACCCGAAGCAGCAGTGTGGTGTCACTGGGCGTGATTAGTGCGGGCTTGGTGATCAAAGCACTAGATCACGGAAATTCATTGTATCTTGGAACCAAGAAGTGGTGGATATAGTGAATTGCTCTTGGAGATAAGAGTAAGTGGAGTAGGAGGATTACACCATCTCGCGAACCACTATAATTGTCTTGTGTTCTTTACTGCTTTCTTTACTTACTGCTCTTTACTTGCTCTACACGAGATATATACTCACACAATCTCACACACACTTTATCTTTATTTAATTTCACTGTGCACCATACTCTAACAATCTAGTTAAGAGTTTTGGTTTATCTCTGGCTTAGCAATTGTTGTGCTGTGCGAAAAAGTTTGAAAGTCTATTCACCCCCCCCCCCCCCCTCTAGACATTCACCTTACCTCTTTTGGGACCAACAATTGGTATCAGAGCAGGCTGTCTATTTAAGCCAATTTGCTATCTAAGCACGTTGCCTAATTGGGTCAACCGTTTCTTACTGCTAGACAGATCCATTCTACAAAGTGTGTGATTGGATTAATCTTTCATATCTCTCGTGATGATGATGAAGAAAGATTTAGCTCAAAATCTATTATTCTCACTTGATAAATTTGATGATTGGAAAGTTCGTATGCAGGTACATTTATCGGCACTACACGATGAAATGTGGGAAGTTATTTCCACTGGCCTTATAGAAATATTAAAAGTCAATACGGCGTTTGTTATATCCCCGGATGCTCCACAGTACGTACAAAAGCCTAAACCGGAATGGACATCGGATGATAGAACGCGGAATAATCTTGACAATATTGCCAAGGATATTCTATTCAATGCCGTTGATGATACAATATTTCCGAAGATCCGAAAGTGTGCTACTGCCAAAGAAATATGGGAAACTCTCATTAAGATTGGCGAAGGAGATGAACAAGAAAAAGACAATAAGCTCACAATCGCCATGAAGAAGTTCGAAGATTTCAAAATGCTCTCAAATGAAAGTGTTGCAGACATGGAAGCTCGAATGATCAAAGTTCTTGGAGAGATTATTGATCTTGGCAAAAATATTAGACAAAAAGAAATTAATCTCAAAATCCTATGAGGCTTACCATCTTCATGGGATATGAAGGTTACGGCTATGCGCGACTACCGAGATCTGAGAATGTTGTCAACAGACAAATTATTTAGTGATCTGAAAGCATATGAGTTCGAAATGAAGGCCAAAGATGATGATGTTCATGAAGCTCGAAATTCTGCTCTAATGGCCGAACAACCGTCAACCTCCAGGTCAGTAGAAAATAATGTTGATTTTATGACTAACGAACAATTTGCTCTTTTTGTTAAAAAATTTAGAAGGTTTATGCGAAAAGGAGACAACAAAAATTCTGCTCATGGAAAATTCGTCTCTCGCATGACACAAGAAGAAAAAGTCGAAGAAAACAAGGATTTATGCTACAATTGCCGCAAACCCGGACATTTTAAAATAAATTGTCCATATCCGATCGTTAGCAAGTATCAAGGCAAAAACATTGAATCTACGCCGAACAAATCCGAAAGCAAAAGGTTCAAGCGCGACAAAGAAAAGCTCTCGTTAGCAACGAACCAAACGAAAATGATGATTCGGTGGATTCATCATCAAGCAATGAAAGTTCATGTTCGGATGATGATACGGCGCTAGTATGCAAGTCAATTGAGTTGAGTACAAGTGAAGATTGTCTTATGGCTCTTGAAGCAGAGGAAGAAGAGGTAACATCTAATTCTTTCAATTCTGTTAATTCTTCTTTTTCTCGTGAATCTATTGACAGTCTAATGCGAGAATGTCAAGAGATTATGCTCACTCATCCTCAACTCAAGGAGGAGCGCAATAATATTCTAATTCTTGAAAAAGAAGACTTTACTTGAAGTGAGTAAATTGAAGAATGAAAATATTCATCTTCAAGAAGAGTGTAAAGCAAGAGAGGTTAGAGAACATAACCTTCGGGCAACTATTGCTACGTTCACTAATTCGTCTAAAATTATAGATAAAATGGTGAGCATGCAAAAGCCATCAGGAGATAGAACCGGAATCGGTTATGACTCCACATGTTCTCAAACCCCTCAAAATCTGACTAATTCTACTACTACTTTAAATAATAAAGTTTAAGTGGTAAAATTTGTTAAAAGTCAGAATAGCACGATGAGACAAGGACTCCGCTATCAAACAAAAGCAAAATTGAATGTTGAAAGGCCGAAACAATTCAATTACATGGCAAAGCAACAAAAATTCTTCAAGCAAAGATATGCCAAAGAGTCAAGTGCAAAAAGATTTCATAGAAAAGAGGGAAGCTTTTCTAGAAATAGAGTTGGGAGATCTTATCCCACTCAAAAGGATTGGTTGTGTAATAGATGTAATGCTTTTTATAGACCAAAGCAACAATCCTCTTCCCAAGTGCCAAAATATAAAAATGATTTCCAAAACCCGGCGCCAAAAATGTTTTCTAATGTGAGTTATGATTATCGTGTCTCAAATGGTTACAAATCGCCTCATCTTAATTCAATAAGATCTAGGTGGGTTTAGTTACCAAAAATCACTAACAGTAAAGGACCCAAGCAAGTATGGGTACCTAAAGTTAATTAATCTTTTTTGCAGGATGTTTGGTACATCGATAGTGGTTGCTCACGCCACATGACTAGAAATAAATCATATCTAGTGAATTTCAAAGAAATCGATGGACCAAAAGTTATATTCGGAGGAAATCAAAATTATGGAATTACAAAAGGAGTTGGCACGATCAAGAAAAATGGATTAAAGATTGAAGATGTTTCTTTCGTGGAAGGCTTAAAATTCAATTTGTTGAGCACTAGTCAATTTTGTGATAAAGGCTATCTTGTAGAATTCTCTAAAGATAATTGCCTAATCAAAAATGAGCTCACAAATGAAGTTGTACTCTCTGGAAAAAGGCGAAAGAACATGTATGTTGTTGATTGGAGTACAAGCAAAGATATAGTGTGCTTAATGGCTAGAAATTTGAATGAAGCAAATTGGGAATGACACAGAAAGCTCAACCACTTAAAATTCAAGACTATCAATCAACTTGCAAAGAAGAATCTAGTAGAAGGCTTGCCAGATATTATCTTCAAGAAGGACCAAGTGTGTGATGCATGCCAATGCGGAAAGCAAATCAAATCATCATTCAAATCAAAGGCACACGAGTCAACGTAAAGACCGCTAAGCTTACTACATATGGACTTATTTGGACCCGTTGATCCAATAAGTGTAAGTGGTAAGAAATATACTCTCGTTGTTGTTGATGATTTTTCTAGGTACACTTGGACAATGTTTCTCAAGAAGAAAAATGAAGTTGAGCAAGTTCTACCGAAGCTGTTGAAGCAACTCCAAAATGAGAAAGAATTGCAAATATAAAAAATACGAACGGATCGTGGAACCGAGTTCGTGAATGGAGTTATACAAGCTTTTTGCAATTCACATGGAATTTCTCATCAATTATCTGCCGTAAGAACACAGCAACAAAACAGTGTTGCCGAAAGAAGAAATCGGACGCTCAAAGAAGCCGCACGAGTGATGATTAGTATAGCTGGTCTCCCGAAACGATATTGGGCGGAAGCTATCAACACTGCTTGCTACACGCAAAATCGAAGCATGATCCATAAGCAGTACAAGAAGACGCCATATGGAGCTATATAAAGGGAGAAAACCAAATATTGGTTATTTTCATATTTTTGGATGCAAATGTTTTATTCATATTAATGATAAATTGCATCTAAAAGCTTTTGATGAGCGTGCAGATGAAGGAATTTTTCTAGGATATTCAGCTACCAGCAAGGCGTTCAGAGTTTTGAATAAAAGAACAATGGTGGTTGAAGAATCCATACACGTGGTATTTGATGAAAAATCACAGATCAAAAATGATGCTCTGGGCGAAGAATTCGAACAAAATGGTAACAAGTGTCATATTGATTTTTGTGATACTAATGATACGTGTATAGATGATGTTTTGCAGGGAATGGATGAGTTGGAAATTAATTCTCTAGAAAATCTCATCCCTCATCCAGAAGAAGTTGGAAATTCTTTTAATAATAATTTTGGAGGTGAAGCCACACGTGAGAATGGAGATGCAGTACGGGTTGAGGTTGGTGATCCAGTTAGTGATCAAGTTGCTGGTGAAGTTGGTGATCAATTTCAAGAAGAATTAAATGATGAAATTTGAACCAACACTGCTAGTACACAACAAATGGGTCCACCCAGTACCATGCACCCATTTGAACCAGATTTAAGATGGCTTAAAAATCACCCTCCAGAATTAATTATTGGGAATATTCATGAAGGCGTGAAAACAAGATCATCTACCATGGAAGCATTGTTCACGTGTTATCTTTCTCAAATTGAACCAAAAGAAGTGGACGAAGCTCTTAATGATCCGAATTGGATAGATGCTATGCAAGAAGAGCTCGATCAATTCAAAAGAAATGATGTTTGGGAACTTGTTCCAAGATCGGCGAACCACAATGTTGTAGGAACCAAATGGGTCTTTCGGAACAAAGCAAACGAAGAAGGCGTGATTGTTAAGAATAAAGCAAGGCTCGTTGCAAAAGGATACTCTCAAGAAGAAGGAATAGATTTTGATGAAACTTTTGCACCGGTAGCCCGACTTGAAGCAATTAGAATTTTCCTAGCCTACGCCGCACACAAAGATTTCACTGTTTATCAAATGGACGTGAAAAGCGCATTCTTGAATGGTCTACTCGAAGAAGAAGTTTATGTCGAATAACCCCTAGGTCTTGAGGTAAAAGGCGAAGGTGATAAAGTCTACAAACTTAAAAATGCATTGTATGGGTTGAAACAAGCACCTAGAGCTTGGTATGATACTTTGTCAATGTTCTTGATAAGCTGTGGATTCACCAAAGGCCTTGTGAAATGAGCATGATGGGTGAATTGAATTACTTCTTGGGCTTACAAGTCAAACAACTGAAAGAAGGAATATTCATCAATCAAGCAAAGTACACCCGCGACTTGATAAAGAAGTTTGGCCTTGATGGAAAATCATCGATCAAAATTTCAATGAGTACATCATTGAGGCTAGACAAAGATGAAGATGGAAAGGATGTCGATCAAACAAAATATAGAGGAATGATTGGTTCTCTTCTATATCTTACTGCAAGCAGGCCGGACATTTCTTATGCTGTGGTAGTGTGTGCAAGATTCCAAGCAAATCCTAAAGAAAGCCACCTCACCGCAACAAAGAAGATCATACGATATCTGAAAGGCACAATCAATGTTGGATTGTGATATCCAAAAGGTACAGATTTTACTCTAACGGGTTTTTCAGATGCGGATTTTGCAGGTTGCAAAATAGACAGAAAAGGCACTTCCTGGACATGCCAGTTCTTGGGGGGAAGGCTTGTTTTTGGTTCAGCAAAAAGCAAAATTCCATCGCAACTAGTAACGCCGAGGCCGAATACATTGCTGCAAGAAGTTGTTGTGCGCAAATTTTGTGGATGAAGCAACAATTGAAGGATTACGGAGTTAATTGTGATGACGTTATTATTTATTGTGATAATACTAGTGCAATCGCTATCACCCACAATCCGGTGCTTCACTCAAGAACCAAACATATCGACATTCGACATCACTTCATAAGGGATCATGTTGAAAAGAAAAATCTAAAGATCGAATATATCCCTATGGAAAACCAAGTTGCTGATATTTTCACGAAGCCTTTATGCAAAACGAGATTTTCTACCTTAAGGCACGGGTTGGGAATGATCGAAATGAGCTAAGTATCACTGGACTTAATCTCTCAATTTAAATTGATACTTGTGCTCAAAATAAATTATTTTACGTGAATAAATTGTTTTATGTGATTATATGCATATGTTTATTCGAAATTTTGTGTAATAAAATTGCAATATGTGTTAGGAATTTATTTGTGTATTTGCATGTGTTATTTAACGTGAAATCATATGCCATGCAAATTAATTTGATGAAATGTGCAATTCATGATTTATTTGATTATTTGTTTAAAATTACATGTTTCAATGTGTTAATTAGTCTACGAATATTTGTTCATGTTTGTATAATTTGATTAATTTGTTTGCATGAACAATTTGTTTTAAAAATTTAATTTAATATGTTTATTGCATTATATATGTGTTTCGTGCATATGTGGTTTATGTGTTATAACTTGATATAAAATGTTTTAGAAATCTGAGCTGCAAGTTATATTTGATTAGTTTCTAAAAAGTTTTAGAATATGATGTGTGTAAAAGTTATGTGAAGATGTTTCTAAATATTAATTTGGAATATGTGTGATAATTTTGCTAATTTTCAAAATGTGTTTATTTGATTGGAAATTGCCGTGTATGTTTAAATTAATTGGTATGTGTGATTGATTATTTATGGTTGATTTTTGCTATTAACGAGATGTTTGAGTGTGATTAATTTTTGTGGTACACGTTTTTTAGAAGGAAATCATGAGATAAAGGAGGAAAATCAGAGTTTAATTGGGTATCAAACCTCCACCCATAAACTCCTACCCTTTCTAAACCTCCACCCATCTTAAACCTCCCCCCATAATCCTCTCCTAAATCAACACCCTTCCCCAACCGATTCATTCTCTCTCAAATCGTCACCCTAATCCCTCATTAACTCTCCTAGAAACCCAAATTCATATTTCCTCCTTTTTTTCCTCATAGGAGGGCGGGCAAGACGGTTCGAAAGGCTGCTAAAGGAAAAGACGATAGCTGGTGGATCTTCTACTATTCTATGTTCTTCCCGAAAGTGTGCTAATCCCTATGTTGTGCGGAGCTGAGCATCGCCGCAGAACGGGAGCTCGTGTGGAACCGCGATTCTTCATACTTTTTCTACTTATGAGAGAGAAAAAATGCTCCAGTCTTAGTGACTCTTCCTCTTTTCTAGGTTTTTTTTCTGAGTGTTCAAACGATAGACTGCTACCCATCACATCCACCGCTTTTTCGACCAATGAAGAGTCACGAAAGCATTCATCACACCTTTTGAAACCAAACGTCGGCTATATCTATAGAAAACCTTTGAACCCCTTCATCATTAGCTCACACGGTTCTAGCACCTTCCTAGGCCTATATATTTGGACCTGAAGTAAACAAGTCTGTGTGGAGATTTCTTTTGTTTGTATCTATTTTTGCAGGCTTCAATGACTCCAAAGAATCAAGAAAAGAGAAGATCTTCCAGGAGAGTGGCCGAGCAAGCAAGACAAGCGATGCTGAGAGCTCGACGTGCTGCAAATGGAGGACATGAAGTTGGAGATACACCTAGCGATCCTCTCATCCTATTCTCTGAAGAAGAGGAAGGACAACTACCGACAAAGATCAAGTTCAAAAAGGTCCGAAAGTCTCAACAGTGCAGCTACGACGCTCAACGCCGTCACCACTGTCATCTCGACCTCAAACCCGCAGCTTTAAGCGATCTGCTCAACCTCAAATGGAACCCGGATTAGTCTATGCTTCGAAATCAAGCTCTCCGTCTCCACCGCATGCTGATCTTGAGGCTAATCATGGCGCTAGTCTCTCTACCAATGAAGCCTGATTATGTGATCTGATCTGAAAATGTTATCTCTCTCTCTCTCTCTCTCTCTCTCTCCCTAAGAAGGAGATAAATAAAAATTATGGATTTTTTTGCTTCTAGTTCTCTCTATCTCTCTCTCCTGAAAATGAAAAATCCCTAAGGCATATAAAAAGATCAAAAGTTTCGTAGCCAAAAAGATACACAAAACATATACATGAATAAAAAAAAACAAAAAAAGGGGAATAAAAAGAAATTAAAAAAAAATATATTATGGCTACAAGAAGGGATAAAAGAAGAAAAGATTAAGAGGAGAAGTGTTAATACGAGAAGAATTAAGAGGATAAGTGTCAGAAGAAATAAGAAGAGATATTCCAGTTGAAGTTGCAGTAGAAGTTGCTACTGAGAGTAGACAACAAATCACAGAGGATTTATCCCGTGTATTGCCAGTACACAATACCGAGTCTACCATGCCTATCATGGACCCTGTTCTAGAAAATGAAGATTTATTTGCAGACAACTACACAAGAACAGAAGTTTTGGAAGAAGAAATTGGTGATCTCAATCAAGAAGTCGAATCACCTGAAGAAGAAGAAAGGATGCAACTCGTTGATACACCCGTTCTCACAGATCCGAGAAGGAGTCCATTCGGATCTCCTCAAAATTTGTGCAGACAAGTGATCAAGAAGATGACATTTTTACATCCTTATTTGCCAAAGTTGCCGAATCCGGTGATGTTGTTTGTCAAACCATTGGAGAAAAGTTGATTGAACAAAATCAAAAGATGGATCAACAACACACGGATACATGAGTTAATCTGAAGGAATTAATGGAGTATCAAAATATTTTGAAGACTCAGATTGACAAAGCTGAAAGGATCTTGAAAGGAGAATTAACAAAAGGCTTACTTGAAGTGATTCAACTCATGAAGAAAGAACGTGAGGCAGCTGAAAAGATTCACAACGAACGTCACTTGCGACAAGTCAAGGCGATACAAGATCAAGAAAGCCGAATCAACAAACTTGAAGTTGAACTCACAGTTGCAACAAATAAGCTGGAAAATGTACAAGCTGTTTCCATTGAAACACACAATAGTGTTGAAGCTGTGAAAGCAAACCAAGACCGAGATTGTAAGACCCTTGCACTTTTGGTTGATAACGCCAAAAGGGGGGAAGAAATTCTCAGTCACTTGGATTTGCAACAACAAGAATTTATTCTTGGAAGCCAACAACAGCCAGTAATATCGACCCAAGGTCGAGGCCGAAGCCGCGGACAATCCTCACACGAACCATCTCAGATTGGTTTTGCTCAGTTCGCGAATCCTAGTCTTGGTACGAGTACATCGAAAGTTGCTGAAACTCGTGGCTGGTTTGAATGCTCTAAAGGTCCCGCCACTCAGACAATAATATGGACTAAGGAAAATCTACCAAGAATGATAAAAAAATTGCCTGCAGCCGATCAAGCCCAATGGATCTCGGACAAGAATAAAGAAGAAGAAGGCAAAAGGAAAAGAACCGAGATGTGGTAGAACTAAGAGATTTCACTGGAAATATGGGCATGAATCTTGGAGAAGAAAGAAGCTTCGAAGAATGTGTTTTATGGTGGGAAGTTGGAGTTCTTCAAGGTAACAATATCAAAGAAGCTTTTGGATATTACATGGCCGGGCAAGTTACAAAGAGATTTCAGAATGCAAAGTTCAAAGATGATTTCTTCAAGCTCAGAGAACATGTCAAGGAAATTTTGAAGAAAGACATGGGAGTGAAGAAACCCAGAAGGTAATCTGAAAAATCTTTTAAGCTGATATTTACGCTATTTTTGAACCTCTGTTGCGTTTTTTCTCTAAATGTTCTGAAATATATCAATAATAATTTCCCATGGTCAATTTTATGTTTAGTATTTTATTTGTCTGATGTAATTAGATCTTCGTAAATTAAAAAGACAAGAAATGTCAAAACGCACATAAAAAATTAAAAAAAATGATGATCAAAAATAAAATAATTCAAGATGCGTTTAGGAGCTTGTCTAAAAATTAATTCACAAGTTTCTTTTGATTGTGTCTAGAAAACCATTTGTTAAACTCATCTTGGCTTTGTCAAATAAAATTGAGCAAAATGATTATTTTTCAAAGACTTAAAGCCAATGACTGAGTATAGGTTTTGACATTATCAAAAGAGGGGAAATTGTTAGGAATAAAGTGTAATGGTTTTGATATGCCAAATATGTATTTGTAGAACCCCCAATTTTATTTTATAGGTCTAGTAGAGTCTTAGACCATGATCGGAAAATTATTTAAGTTGCACAAAAGAAAAACAGAGGAAGATGCATGAAAATAGAAGAAGAAGATATAAAGCCTAAAATCAAGAATTTGTCTAGAGAAAATGACAAATTAAAGAAGAAGATGAATGATATGGAAATCACGTCAATGCTACTCAAAAAGATATCCCAGGAGAATTTTCGTTGAAGAAAATTAAGATTGGAAGATTGCATGAATTTGACTTGGAGATCAAGCATCTATGGAAAGAAATGAGTACATCAAAGATGATTGGAGATTTAACTAATAAGCTGTATGGATGAAGTAGAAGATGCTTGATGTATTATGTGAAATGGCTCAAGTTCGAATCTCACCATTAACAATTTTACAAGGTAAAATTTGAGAAGCCAAAATTAATTGGGCGCTAGTTTGGCTTTGGGCGTCAATTACAAGTGGAAATTAGGAAGCAATTTTACTTGGGTGGCCAGGTGGCAATTGAGAAGCAATTGCACTTGGGGCTTTGGGCGTCAATTACAACACTTGGGAGCCAATTCAAAGGGAATTGGGCAATTGAAATTGGGAGCGGCCAATTCAAAGGGAATTGGGCAATTGAAATTGGGAGCTAGTTCAATTCAAAGGGAATTTGGCAATTGAAATTGGGAGCTAGTTTCTTACAAGTGGAAATTAGGAAGCAATCAGCCAATTCAAATGGAATTGGCCAATTTCAATTGCCCAATTCCATTTGAATTGGGCAATTGAAATTGGGAGCTAGTTTCTTACAAGTGGAAATTAGGAAGCAATCAATTTCACTTGGGTGGCAATTGAGAAGCAATTGCACTCAATTTCACTTGGGTGGCAAGTTCAATTCAAAGGCAATTGGGCAATTGAAATTGGGAGCTAGTTTCTTACAAGTGGAAATTAGGAAGCAATCAATTTCACTTGGGTGGCAATTGAGAAGCAATTGCACTTGGGAGCCAATTCAATTCAAAGGGAATTGGGAGCTAGTTTCACAAGGGAATCAATTAATTAAATCTGATGGAGTTGGGCGCTAGTTTGGCTTTGGGCGTCAATTACAAGTGGAAATTAGGAAGCAATTTCACTTGGGTGGCCAGGTGGCAATTGAGAAGCAATTGCACTTGGGAGCCAATTCAAAGGGAATTGGGCAATTGAAATTGGGAGCTAGTTCAATTCAAAGGGAATTGGGCAATTGAAATTGGGAGCTAGTTTCTTACAAGTGGAAATTAGGAAGCAATCAATTTCACTTGGGTGGCAATTGAGAAGCAATTGCACTCAATTTCACTTGGGTGGCAAGTTCAATTCAAAGGGAATTGGGCAATTGAAATTGGGAGCTAGTTTCTTACAAGTGGAAATTAGGAAGCAATCGATTTCACTTGGGTGGCAATTGAGAAGCAATTGCACTTGGGAGCCAATTCAATTCAAAGGGAATTGGGAGCTAGTTTCACAAAAGAATCAATTCAAAGTTGGGAGCCAATGCATGAATTCAAATTTAGAGCCAATTGAGATTGTAGTATGGGATGTAATTTCAAATTGGGAGCCAATTGAGATTGTAGTATGGGATGTAATTTCAAATTGGATACCGATTCAAAGAAGACAGATTCAAAGAAGACATTGAGATCAAATTGAATTAAGATGAAATTCAATACCAGGAGAAGTCTGGGAGCCAATTTCGAGCCAATTGAGATTGTAGTATGGGATGCAATTTCAAATTGGGGACCTATTCAAAGAAGACATTGAGATCAAATTGAATTAAGATGAAATTCAATACCAGGAGAAGTCTGGGAGCCAATTTCGAGCCAATTGAGATGTAGTATGGGATGCAATTTCAAATTGGGGACCGATTCAAAGAAGACATTGAGATCAAATTGAATTAAGATGAAATTCAATACCAGGAGAAGTCTGGGAGCCAATTTCGAAGCACCAGGAGACCAGGAGAAGTCTGGGAGCCAATTTCGAAGCACCGCACTAGGAGTAGATTGGGAGCCAATTACAAGTCAAAGTCAATTGGGTGCCAATTACAAATTGAAGCACCAGGAGGAGATTGGGAGCCAATTACAAGTCAAAGTCAATTGGGTGCCAATTACAAATTGAAGCACCAGGAGCAGATTGGGAGCCAATTACAAGTCAAAGTCAATTGGGTGCCAATTACAGTGGAGAAAGTCAAAGTCAATTGGGTGCCAATTACAATGGAGAAAGTCAAAGTCAATTGGGTGCCAATTACAATAGAGAAATTCAAATTATTGGGTGCCAATTACAATGGAGAAAGTCAAAGTCAATTGGGTGTCAATTACAATGGAGAAATTCAAATTGGGTGCCAATTACAAGTCAATTGCAATTGGGTGTCAATTACAAAGGAGAAATTCAATTTGGGAGGAAGTTCAAAGCCAGTTTGAAGTCTGAGAACACCCACACGTGAGATTGAAGAAGATGAAGAAAAACTTACAGTGAAAATATTCTCACAAGGAAAAATACTAGTCTAACTAGTATGGGATTAAATTGAAGAATATTTTTGAAGTATTTAAATCCCAAGAACCACTTCAGAGCTAATCAGAGAAGCCATTCTACACAAAACTGAGACACAGATATTTCCAAGAAGCGTGAGAAAACTAGAGGAATATCAGATGAAGTTTGGGTACTCATTTGCATGAAGTTGAAGCTCTATCAACGGCTAGCTTATCTCTTCTGACACTTTGCCAGAAGATAAGATAAGATCTCTGACAAAAGATACAAGAATTCAAAAATGAGATCGTTTCTTTCCAACGGACAGATTCTCATTACCAGCTATAAAAGAATGAAGATATGAAGACTTAAAAAAAAGCAAAGAAGTGAGAAAAGAAAAAGAACTTAGAGAGCTTCAAAGAGAAATATTCTGAGAGTTCTTAAACAGATCAAAACAGGGCATAAAAATCAAGTGCTTTACTTGATATTTTCAAAGAGAGAAAACACTCAGAGCGTTCAAGAGAAATCTTTCAAAGAGTGTTACATCTTCATCAAAGAGACTTGCGCATCATTGAAGATCTTCTACAGAGTCTCAGAAGTTGGAAGCAAGACAACACATGTTTTGGAGCAAAACAAGAGAAGGGAGGAAAGTAGCACGGAGCTGTGAAATCCTGGATTGTCACACGGAGCTGTGAGATCCGAAGCAGCAGTGTCGGAGGCACTGGGCGTGATTAGTGCGGGCTTTGTGATCAAAACACTAGATCACGGGATACGTTTCTACCGGAGTGTGAAAGACAGGGGGAAAGTAACGCGGAGTCGTGAAATCCTGGGATAGTAGCGCGGCGACGTGAAACCCGAAGCAGTAGTGTGGTGTCACTGGGCGTGATTAGTGCGGGCTTGGTGATCAACGCACTAGATCACGGAAATTCATTGTATCTTGGAACCAAGAAGTGGTGGATATAGTGAATTGCTCTTGGAGATAAGAGCAAGTGGAGTAGGAGGATTACACTACCTCGCGAACCACTATAATTGTCTTGTGTTCTTTACTGCTTTCTTTACTTACTGCTCTTTACTTGCTCTACACGAGATATATACTCACGCAATCTCACACACACTTTATCTTTATTTAATTCCGCTGTGCACCATACTCTAACAATCTAGTTAAGAGTTTTGGTTTATCTCTGGCTTAGCAATTGTTGTGCTGTGCGAAAAAGTTTGAAAGTCTATTCACCCCCCATCTAGACTTTCACCTTACCTCTTTTGGGACCAACAACTAATTATATCGGCCGGGCACAGGTTCTCATTGAAGACCTTACCCTCGCCGGCCGACACATTCCGCTTGAAGAACAAAACCTATATGTATTCCGGGGTTTACGACTTGAATCTCGGGGTATTGTCTCTTTTCTCATTGTCCGGGGAACACCGGTCACGCTCCATGAACTCTGGGATATCCTTGGGGCTCGAAGAATTCATCACCGGTAGTGGAGGTTCGTCGCCGGCAGCCTTTTCCGTACAGAAATCCAGGCAGCAGCAGCGCGACAAGGGTGGACAGTCACATGGCGGCGGGCATGGCTCCAGGCAATCCGGGCAATCCCGTGGTGGTGGTGGTGGCCGTCGCGGCAATGGTGGTCGTGGTCGTGGCATTAAGAACGACAATCACCAACCTAAGTGTCAACTTTGTGGGGTTCTAGGGCACACTGCGCCTACGTGTTACAAATGGTATGAAAAGGATCCATAAGCTAATATGGTTTATCAGAGAACCCCTTCAGATTCCTCACAGGACTCTCATACTTGGTTCCTAGACACGGGTGCAACAAATCATGCAACTCCAGATATAGCGACACTCTCTATCTCGGACGAGTATATTGGTAATGACACCCTCTGTGTCGGTGATGGTACATGTTTGCCTATTAGTCATATTGTTCATGCATCTATTCATACCCCTTATAGGTCGTTTCATTTATCTAATATCCTTCATGTTCCCACTTTATCTACCTCTTTATTATCAGTTCAAAAATTTGCATCTGATAATAAAGTTTTTTTTGAATTTCATCCATCTTTTTTTTTTTTTTTTGTTATGAAGGATATCAACACAAAGGAGATTCTTCTTCAGGGCAATAATTCTGGTGGGTTATACACACTACCAGTTCGAAGTTCGTCACCTTCCGAATTTCTTTCAGCTCGTGCATCTCCGTCTGTCTGGCATGATCGTTTGGGCCATCCACACCATCGTGTTCTTCCCTTTTGTTCGGTTAGTGGGTCTAGTAGTGCTATTTGTTGTAATTCTAGTTTATGTAATGCGTGTCAAATAGGCAAATCTTCTCATTTTCCATTGCCACGTATTAACACTTCTAGTTCAAACATTCTTGATTTAATCTATACTGATATTTGGGGTCCAGCTCCTCTCTTATCTTCTGATGGTTATAGATACTTTTTTCTGTTTGTCGATGATTTCTCTCGTTTTACTTGGTATTTTCCCATGAAACAAAATATGATCTTTATGATATTTTTGAAAAGTTTCGTGTCCTTTGTTGAAAGACTTTTCAATCGTAAGATCAAATCTATTCAATCTGATTTAGGTGCCCAGTACAAAAATTTGCATTCCTCTCTCACAAAATTAGGAATCTATCATAGACAGTCATGTGCCTATACTCGCGAACAAAATGGCTGTGTGGAGCGAAAACATCGACATATTGTCGAAATCGGTCTCACTCTCATGGCTCGTGCGTCTGTTCCATCTAGGTTTTGGGATTTTGCATTTGAGACCGCGGTTTATTTAATTAACAGAATGTCATCTGCTATATTTCTAGTCCTCATTCGTTATTGCATAAATCTCCTCCTTCATATTCTTTTTAATGTCTTTGGTTGTCTTTGTTATCCTCATCTACGTCCTTATAATCGTCACAAAATGTCTTATAGATCCTTTCCATGTGCCTTTCTTGGTTATCTTGAGTCTTTTAGTGTTATAGATGTATGGACTTCCAGACTAATAGGTGTTCGTATGCAGGCATGTCAGATTTGATGAAGTTGTTTTTCCTTTTGCTATTAAAATTTTTGTGCAGAAAATTTCAGATTCACAGTCTCAGCCTTGGGTTGCATCTATTCTTCACCCCGTGGTGACCAATCTTACCGCTTGCGTTCCGTCCGAACCAGCACCACCGGCTGCACCAGGTTCAGACCGAATCAGTGCTACCGGCAGCGCCTGAACAGAACAGCACTGCACTGTCGACATTGCCTATTGCTGCCGAGACTACACAGCAGGCCGCCACAGTAGCAGCTGCTCGTCCACGCGGACGTCCACGAGGCTGGTCTACTCGGTCGAATGTCCGCACACATGATATGGAGACACAGAGTCGGTCTCGCGCACCTCCTACAGTTTTGACAGCTCAGGTTTGCATCACTGATTCCACTTGTTACACACAGGCTGTCAAACACTTGGAATGGCGCCAAGCCATGGATGAGGAATTTAATGCTTTATTACAGAATCAGACTTGGTGTCTGGTTCCGTCTTAATCTAATCAGAATGTGATTGGTTGTAAATGGGTTTTTCGAACCAAGATAAAGGCGGATGGTTCGATTGAGAGATACAAAGCCAGGTTGGTAGCAAAAGCATTTAATCAGGTTCCTAATCAGGATTTTTTCGACACATTCAGTCCGATTGTAAAACCTACCACAGTCAGGTTACTTCTTTCTTTGGCTATATCTTCTGGTTGGACTGTGAGACAACTAGATGTTCATAATGCTTTTCTCAATAGTAATTTGACTGAAACTGTTTACATGCGGCAACCACCTTGTGACAACCCAAAATTTGTTTTATAAATCAGGTTTTAAGAAATTCCAAAATAGCCAATTTTCGCTCCATAAAAATTTTTACGAAGAAAACGGTGTTGAATAAATTATTTGAGCCATTTTAAATTTGATTTGATTCGACGCCAAGAATGGATTTAAATCCCAATATCCTAAATTTTTGGGTACATTGCGTGCTAAGTTTTGAACTGAGAAACCTATCTGAGTGAAACCGGGAGAATTCTGAGAAGCTTGAACCAAGTGTTCATCTAGAAATCATTTTGGGAAAATTCCATTTTCAACCCCAAACTATTTTAAATAGCAATTCTAGCCTTTGATTCACAAAGCATGGTGAACTACAAGCTTACAACATCTCTACCTGATACCTTCTTGAACCAATCAGGATCATCCTCTTTATCATCAACCAATCATAAGGAAAATCTCTAGGGTTTTGTACCACTATAAAAACCACCTTATGCACTCCTCAAACCCTGATCTCAAACCTTGCCTCTCCATTGTTGTCTGATAAGAAGCCAATCACAGTAAGTTTTCCATACAATTTTCTTCACTCTGCCTTTTCTAAAGTTTCCCCATCTATGGAGTTCTTAGGGCTTGGTGTTGTGAATGCTTGGGTGTTAGTTGGTGAAGGAAGTGGAGATTCTTGAAGAGAGAGGAGGCTGAGATCCAAGCTAGAAGAGTAAAAGGCTACAAAGGTATAACCCATGGACTCTCAAGTTATTTTCAAGACTCTGTGAAGTCTTTTGATGGTAGAAATGAGTAGAAATGCTAGATTTTGAAGTATTTGAGCTATTAAGTGATCTATTACTAGTCTATGATGTGTTGTTGATGTTTTGGTGGAGTTAGAGTTGGCTGAGAATGTTTTGCAAATGAAAAAGAGGTTTCTAGTGCACAGGCAGTGTGCACCAGTAGGCATAGCGGATCCAGCTAACAGCCCGCAGAGGGGACCGTTGGCTAGGGCCGTGGCCAGCCGGGCCTAGGGAACGGCCCTAGGAGAGGGTCGTTGCCTAGATGCGGCGAGAAGGCGGTTTGAGGAGCGGGCCTAGTCGAGCCCCGCCCCAAGTTCCGTTGAGTGCTTCCAGTGCAGTGGTCGGGCCCTTATGGCTCAGCTACGTGTCGTTTCGGACGCGGTGTCATGGGTTCTTGTGGCTCGGTACCTCGAGGCCGTCTTGACAAACGTTTTGACTTTGATTTCGTTGAGTTTGGAGAAGATTTGAGCCCTCTATGATAGTTTTTGTGAGGGAAATTGTTACAGAAGCATATCCAGTGAATGAGATTAAGTGTTTATCAGACTTTGATCATCTATATGTTGAGCATGATGTTATTTGATTGTTAAATAGAAAAGTATGAGCTTATAGATGAGTTTTGTTAGCAAAATATGCTTGAATTGTCTTGTATGACTTATTTGAAGATTATTGCTAATTTTACAAGCATGGAAGTATACAGAGCATGTCCAACTTGAAAGCATGATTATAGTAAATGAATTCTTTGAGTAATTGGAGTTCAAATAGCATGCTAATTACTTGCTTAAGTGTTTTTTAGAAGATTTGTTAAGTTATGAGTTTCAAGCATGATTTATTGATTTTGATTGAGTTTCACAGTGAATAGAAAGTATAAGCATATCTTTACAGTAAATGCCATTTTGAGCATATCATGTTTTAAAAGTGCATAAGTGGCCAATGTGAGCCTAAGTATTATTTTCCTACAAACTCATATCCATTGTAGAGAGTTATTATCTTGTCATATTGAGATTGAGTTGAGAAGTTATGTGCATATTTGCATAAAAAAAGTGTTGCATATTTGAGATGCATGAGTGATATATTTATATATATCTATTGTGAGGAAAACCTTGTTTTGGAGGACCCATTTGGACTATGTCCTTTCGGAGTAAAAGAGAAAGCAACGGACATTGCGATTCGATATCATGTAACGCGGCGTATTCCCACATTACGAGGTTGGAAACTGCCCGCCAGGTTTGGAATCCTGGTTAGGGGGTGTGCACACTGATAGTTCGATACCTGATTCCACAGAGTTTGAGTTTTGGAACCACGAGATTGGTTCTGTGGGCGGGATGAGAGATTGGCCGGCTAGACGTCGTGCCCAATGGGTCCATTCACATTATGGTGAAGCCCGACCTCACTCACGAGTAAAGAGAAAGCGAGTCATCTCGACTCTAAGAAAGCGAGTCATTGAGACTCTAAAAAAGCGAGTCAACACGACTCTAAGAAAGCGACTCTTTGAGACTCTAAGAAAAGAAGAGCAAAGCGAGTCATTTTTTCTCTAAGAAACCTCCACAGAAAAAGTATTCTTTTTACAAAAGAGTGTGTGTGTATATATATATATCTTGCACGAGATTGCATGATTAGTAGTAGAGAGCATGAGATTGCTTATGAGTTATATGTCTTGCACGAGATTGCATGATTAGTAGCACGAGATTGGTTATGGGTTATATACCTTGCACGAGATTGCATGATTAGTATTTGATAGCACGAGATTGCTTTACGAGATATTTGATAGCATGAGATTGCTTAATTGATTATATGAGAAATCATGAGATTGTTAAGTACTTGAGAAAGCTTTAGATTCGTTTACAAGTTTTGAGGTTATGATGTGATGTTTGTTACATAAGCATGCCTATTCGTTATTATGATGCAAGCATCTAGAAGTTAATGCCAAGTATGATTAAGTGATTAAGTTGTTTGATCAAAGAATGTGAAACAAATGTTTTTCAAAAGTATATATTGTATTACTTTACAGGGTTGAGTGGCGTTATACTTAGCTTCGTGCTAACGGGTTTTGTTTGCTACTTGTTGTTTGTTAACCCCTTTCAGGTGGGCCCAGTTCGTAAGTACGAGAGAGCACGAGTTAGACTAGTTTAACTTAGATAGCTTTGTAGTCTAAACTCTTATGTTATTTTGGATTTGTAGTTGACTA